GGGTAACTGATGTGATACAGCAATCTGTATACGGGGTAAAATTGGGAGTTCATAACCCACTTGAATCAAACTGTGAAATATGATGTATTAAGAACTATGTAATGTTTTGAACGACCAACAATAAAAAAAAACCGAATTATTTATAGATAGAAGTAGATTCACTACTAGCTACTCAAAAGAACAAAATCCAGATTTGGATTAACTGGCTATATTTATCATGAGTAATATATTTAGAAAAAATACTTGAAGTACCTTATTTGTGAGTGTTTCTGTTTTCTTTTTATTCTAAAACTACTCTTTTTCTTCAAAAGGATTTAAAGTTTGATGCTTTGGAGAAGTCATCACCAGAAAGCAGGTGAGATTCATATGCTTCTTAAAGACTTGTTTCTGCTGAAGTTAAAAAGCACTAATTACAATCAATATTAGACTTGCTCTTTTGATTTACTAGTGAAAAAACTTTTTTGTATATGTGTAAGATTTTCCCTCCAAAATTTATTATACCACTAAATACAGACTCTTCCTATGAAATAGTTAATATTTACTAAGTACAACTTAAAATATTTTTTGTGAGATAGCCAAGCATTACAAAGTAGATTCCCTTGTATATATAGTGCATTTCTGATAAAATGTTATAATGATTATTATAAAAATAATAGCTAATGTTTATTGTAGTGTCTAGTACTAGGGCAATTACTTAGTTAACTTAGTCCTCACAACAACTCATATAAGTGTTATTATGTTTGTATTTTATTATGTTTGTATTTTATGAATGGGTTAAATAACTCTTCCAATATTTTGCCCTTAGCAAAGCTGGAATTACTTCACTGTAATCATTATTTTTTTGTATCCTATTTTGAGGGATTTTGAAAATAATATCTGTGATTCATTAGTTCTTAATGTTGAGTATATCCAGGAATTATTTGGGGAGATTTTAAAGTAGGAACTAGCAGGGCATGGTGGCACACACCAGTAATTCTAATGGCTTCTGAGGCTAAAGCAAGAGGATCACAGGTTCAAAGCAAGCCTCAGCAACTTAGTGAAGGTCTAAGCAACTTAACAAGACCCTGTCTCAAAAAAAAAAAAAAAAAAAAGTGCTGGAGATGTGGCTCAGTGTCTTAGCACCCTTGAGGTCAATATGCCATACTACCAAAAAAAAAAAAAAAAAAAAAAAAAAAAAGGTAGGGATGGGGTCATATTGTCTAGGGACTAGGTCCTTACTCTGAACTTTGGATTCGTAAAAACTCCTTGTCATTCCAACATTTAAATATGATGTAAACCACTGTCCTAAATGTCTTTTGATTGTGAAAATGGGAATATGAGTGGCAAGCACCACACTGTACATGTTTATCTTATTACAATAAGACTAGTATATATTTCAAGCCATGAAAAAATATTTATTTGATTGAATACTTTTTAACATATAGTTATGGCATTTAATATAATTTGTTATTTTATTTGTTTACATACAGATATAGCCCACATTTATCTTGAACAAGATACTGTTGGGATAAATAAAAGTACACAGATAGATGAGCAACTCACTATGAATTCTGAGGGAAGCATGCATCAGAAATCCAGTGAGTTAGCCAATGAAGTCACATATGAGGACCCTGAAATACCAGGATGGAAATCTAGGAATTTTCAGATCTTCAGCCCTTATCCAGATGATGAGACATCTGAAAAATGCAAGTGAGTTCTGTCAACCTTAGTTCTAGAAAGTAAAAATTGAGAAACTTTTCCTTCCTTTCTTCCTATATATATATTGTTTTTATGATATTGATGAAATGAGTCTAGATAGCTAAGTGTAAATGCTTAGGTGAGTTTGAAGGAAGGCAATGAGGTTTTATTCCTTGTTCAATTTTATTTTCTGTGGCCTTTCATTATGGATATGAAAATGACTTTTAAATTGCTATAAATGGGGTATCATTCATCAAAGCCAAACATTCAGTTCTAGCACAAATTAAGCCCAAAGATCTTTTTGGTTTGGGTTAGCACTTTTTTTCATTTAAATGAATTTGAATGCTTTTAAAAAGCTCTTCCACTCTACATTTTACCTTCCTTCTTATTTTATGTCCTATAGCTTTTACCCATCCACTTTGTCTATCTCAAGAAGGAATTTGAATTTGTGATTCCTATGACATGATAATAGTCATGTGCTATAAAAATATTCTGAGATTAAAATATTCAATGATAATATAATTGTACTTTCAGTCTAGACAAAATCATTTTCTAGAATACTATTTTAACAGAGTTTTGCATTGAAATTGCTATTTCCATTTACTTGCAAGTTATCAGTAAATATGTTTTTGAGTGAATTTAACACATAATGAAGTAGATACTATATTGATTTGTTCCTGTATTGATTTGGTATGTTTTAGGGGGTTGAGGCAGGAATGAATGAAGAAGGCATAAACATTTCTATGAACACATGAGGAAAATGAATAGTAGAGCTTGGGCTAAAGACATATTATGGGATCTCTGGTATAATTGCAATAGGAGATTATGGAAAGTGCTGCTACACTGACTGTCCTAAACCTCACTGCTAAATTTCCTCTTAATGACTCCATATTTACCTATGCTTACAAATTGAATATAATGCCTTCAAAAAACAGTCCATATCCTCTCCCTTCCCTTCCTTTATACTACTTGATTACAAGTTGATACTCTTCTCAAATAGCCTTCAAAATGTCAAAACATTTCATTTCACTTACTCTTAAATGTTACACGAATAGGTTTTTATTTGAAAGTTTTGAATAGTGAAATATGATACTCTTTCCCCCAAAATAAAAAACTTACTTGACTTTTGTTTCCATTTTCAGAAAAGCAAGGAATTTAAGTAGAATCTCAACCTAAAATACAAATTGTAATAATATTTAGAGCCTCTAAACCTAAACTGAAATAATATTTATAGCCTCTGAAGCCTGAATTATTTTATCAAATCAACTCAACCATAAGTCTCAGATGATGCTAAATACTTTTCATAAATTTAACTTTCATAGTTGATAAATTGGCAACTCTGTGACATTATGTTCTTTTTATCTATATATTCTCTTATGTTCATAAAAAGGCATTGTAAAATGGGTACCTTCGCCTATTTATTATTAAAATTAAATCTGAAGTATAAAATTTATATATCCTGTATAAAGTTGTACATATATATTGTGTAATGATTTCCTTTATTGCAGAATTATGGAACAAAGAAAGAATGAATTGCATTATGAACATATGAGTCCTTGTCAAATTACTCCAGACCTAAATAAAGAGACAACTGTAGCATTTCTTCTAAAAGAATTGGATATTCTCAGAACAAGCAATAAAAAGGTATAATACAGAAAGCCTGATCATTGTACAATAGCTTTCAGCTGTTGACCTTCTCAATTTTCTTTGTGGCCCATCATTTTTCAGTTTTATTATGTACTAGAAATAATGTAGTATACAGTAGTTGTGTACTTTTTGTTATCATATCTTGTCATCAGTGTGAGTCAAGTCATTGGTTGTAAAAGTAATTTTTTATTTTTCTGCCTTGCTAGTCAATGATCTCATTTTGTTTTTCATAAATTTTGGGCACCTTATATAGGTACCTTAAAACAAAGATTAAGTTTCTACCACAGTAAAACTTTCAGCATTATAAAGAATAAAAAATATTATAGACAGTTTCTTTACTTTCTTAATTTTTTTCTTTTTTTATTAGTATATGTACCCTATATTTTACCCCAATAATATATGTAATTGGACATTATAATAGCAAGGCCTGCTGATCTTTTCATTTACTTTGGGTTATACTGTTGCATTTTATCTAATCCATTTGTCTTATCATGTTTTATTTTATTATTGACTCTTATTCTAGGTACATTCCTCTGAGCACTAAATAATGTTAATAAATAATGTTCCTTTTTTAAAAAAAAATTCTACATGCTTTTCTGATTTTTTTATATTTTCACTGTTTGACCTAACCAAACTGATGCACAATGTTAGGAATATTGATCACGTCTAAAGGAAAACAATACAAATGACAAAAGCCTGGGGAGGAATTAAAAATAAGAAACATGTAGAAGAATTCTGATATGAGAGCATGAGACATTTTCTGTACTTTGATTTATCAATCGCTACATGTCAATTGTGAGTCTGGTACCAGTGCCAACTTAAAAGGAATATGACAAGGTGGCATTTACAGGGGTAGATTTGTACCAGATATTATGATTATTATCTTAATTAATTTTGTTTCAAAATATTGGAAGTACTAAGAAGCTATAAAACTGAAACATCCATTATTTTATTAGTAGTGGCCCATCTAAACCTTTTGCTTAAACAAAAAATAGGTGAGATTGCTTTTACAGTAGTTATTTTTATAATAATATTGTACTTCTTAGTTTTATCTATATACAAATTAAGTATGTAATAGAATGTTTTTATAATTATGATTACAGGTAATCATTACTTTATAAAATATCTTTCAAGCTTAATTTTTTACCCTGGAGTTCATAAATTTAGATAATTGAATGTAATATTATATAAAGGTTTAAGAAACAACAAAATTTTACTTTGGGATTAATCATAAATCTAGAAGACATTTTAAAGTGTTTTTATTAGTATATATAATTATATACAACAGTGGTATTCATTTTGAAAGGAAGACATTTTTAGATAAGAATTCATATTTTTAAATGTGTTTTAGCTTCAAGAAAAACTGGCTAAAGAGGATAAAGAACAGAGAAAATTAAAGCTTAAACTGGAACTCCAAGAGAAAGCAGCAGAAGCTAAAATTGCTGAAAAGGCAGCAGGTATAGTAGATGAGTGTTAGCATACAGCCTGATGAATCACATACATGGTTATTATATGATGTGTCTTTGTGAATACTAGCATACTGCCGTATTTGCCAAAGGTGGGAAAGCTCTGTCTTTTTTTTTTTTTGGCTGCTTAGAAAATAGGTGGCTTTAACATCCTGGTACTGGTATTAGTGAGAGCTTTACCTGTATTCATACTGATTTGGGCATTAAATGCATTGTTAACACCATGTCAATCCAATCACAAAAAGGTTGTTTGTTTTGTTGGAAGGGCCTGAACAAACAAGGGGAAATAATGATTACCAGTGCCTCTACCTTTCAACCAGCAGTTCAAATACCACTTATTTTTTTAGCTCGTTGAGAGGAAATATTTCCCCTTCGTATGAAGATAATCATATATTCATTACAAAGGAAATCTGCATTTGATTTAAAAAATCTGTTTTGTACAATTAAGAAGTTAAAATTTGATTATATAGATAACGATAAGAGATCATGTTTTCCCTGAGATTCAAGTGACAGGTTGCCACAGTTTAATGTTATAAATGATTGCCTTAAATATATTTTTGGAGTCTTGTCTTTATTTACAGGTCTTTTCAAGGGGAAAATTTTTTTAACATATCTGTGATATGTTACAGATATAAGCAAATGATTCTCAAGTCTGTGATATTCATGTATGTGTGTCAGTGTGGCTCTTTCCTTCATATTGTTTTCATGTGTTAAGAGAAATTTAATAAAATAGTACATGTTAGCATTCAGTGGCATTTTCACTAATTTAACATTTTTACATCAGTTGCAATGATTTTTTAAAATAACTTATTTTGTGATTAGACTGAGGTTATAAGTATGTTTTATAAGCCACTTGTAAAAGAATCTTGGTATCTAAGGTCAGATACATGATTAATTAGTATAGCCTGTCTTCAAATATTATTTTGGAAAATAGAACTAAACATCATGAAGATATAACCAAGATGACCATGAATAAGTACGCCAGCTGAACACCATCATTGCTTTACTATTAATGTTAAACTGCTATAATGTTTTTGTTTATTTATTATTGGGGAAAATATGAGAGTAATATATTTTAAGGAAAATTAATAGTGTTAAAATGAATAATTCAAGTTTAGAATAATTTAGGAATTTTCTGGGTTTTTATAATCAAATACACACATATACATATATACATATTAACTGTTAGGATGGTATTGCATATAGAAAGTATGCTTGTTTAGAGGTATAGACATAAAAATTTAACTTTTCATATACCTTACAGAAGTAATTGGATAATTTTGGGACATTAAGACTTATTGAGAATCATGAGCATAGCATATATCTCCTAGGGTGCTCATTAAGCAGTTAAATCTGTTGTATAATATAGCTAAGCATGCCCTTTAAATATTTATTGATATATTTAAGGTTCCCCTGGATAGAACATTTGAAACATGCATGCATAACATGGAGAAAATTTGATTACCTTATAATTCTTATTAATCATAAAACAATCTGATTCAAGAGATGTGTCCAAAAGAAAAATGTCAAAACACTGTCATGTAAGTGAGATAAAATAAAAATCCTTCAAAAAGTTTTTTAAAGTATTAATTTTCAATTTGATTTTTGTTTTTTAATGTTTCACTTCTACCTTATTTAAGAAACATACTTTACTTGTAACATTAGAGAGGATTATTACTGTTATATCAAATTTTAATAATAGTGAATTGCTTAAAAATCTACTGTTTTGAAACTCTGAAAACTGTAATCCCTTAGTGAGCTCATTTCTAATTATATGCACAGTCTTTTAAACATATTTTAAAGCCAGGAGCAGTGGCACATGCCTGTAGAAACAGTAGCTTAGAAGGTTGAGGCAGAAGGATAGAAAGTTCAAAGCCATCCTCATCAACTTAGCAAGACCCTTAGCAACTTAGCAATACTCTGTCTCAAAATAAAAAATTTTAAAAAGAGCTGGAAATGTATATACTTATTTATATAATATGACATGTATCTTATATAAATGTATAAACTATTTCATTTTGATGAATTCATGAGTGCATTTAATGTAATTTTCTCCATTTCAATCTTTTTTTAAAAAAATACATTTACTTTTATTTTTTTGAGAGAGAGAGAGAGAGAGAGAGAAAATTTTAATATTTTTTTTTTTTAGTTATCGGCAGACACAACATCTTTGTTTGTATGTGGTGCTGAGGATCGAACCCTGGCCGCACGCATGCCAGGCAAGCGCACCACCGCTTGAGCCACATCCCCAGCCCATCCATTTCAATCTTTAGGACTATCCCCTTCCCTCTCTTCCTTCTTCTCCCTCTTATCTTCCTCTACTCCAGTGATCTTAAGTACACTTATTTTCTATCTGACCAGTACCAAGTGTACTCAAAAAGCAAAACATAACAGAAACAACCATGTTAGTATTTTAAGAGAAAGAGGAATAGTATGGAATTATGATTACATGTTATAAGTTCTGTTTCCTATAACAAATAGTCCACATAAGTATAGGTATTTTTTCTATCACTACTGTTTTATATTCAAAGTAAAAGTGTATTTGGTAATATATCTTATGAGTATACACAATGTCTAAGTAATGTACTTAAGCAAATTATGTTTAAAAACATCAAACTATTCCACAATAAAAGAATTGTAAAAACGTCCGAGCCAAATATTAAAAATAGCAGCAAACAAAAATGTATGACACTAGAGAATTTTTTTAAATGTTAAAATATGATGGAAAAAGCAGTCATTTTCTTTGATATATAAAATAAACATATACACAAGTATGTTCACACAGCTTTAGTTATGATTGCAAGAGAATCAGAAACAATCTAACAATAAGGAAATTGTTAGATTATAGCACATTTATGCTGTGAGACTTTCCAGAGAATATTTGATGATATGCAAAAAAGTCTTCATAACTCAGTGTTAAATGAAAGCTGTAAGGGAAAAACTATTTAAATATAATTTTGTTAAAAGAAACAATATTCATACGTGTCTTATGTAGAATGAGAGAGAAGTTTGGGTGTTATTTAAATGGAGCTATTGGTTCAGTGAATGGTTTCTGTCTTTTTCAGGCTTTGTACAATGAACATGTATTAGATTTAGTTTAGTTTTAGAAAAAGTCAATATTACTTTTAAAAGATGTGATTTTAAAAAAATACTTGCATTCGAATGTTAAAAAAAATATCCTATGATAGGTTTGAGACATAATGACCATATAAACCAAAGTTTTATGGAAACCATATGATATCTATGATCTGGTCTTGCCATTTTACTCATGCAGGTTTTCTGGTCTTTGAGATTTGCTCCGTATTTATCTTTATATCTGTATGTGTATCATGTAACTTATGTATACATTAATCTTGTCTTCCCAACTGGCTGTATAATTTATAAGACTAAGAATCTGATACAGTTAAACCACATAAAATAAAATGTGTCCAGTTCTCCTTAGGCAGTTTGATATAACTGGGAGACCAAAAGCCTTGGATTAGTCCTAGGTTAAAATCAGTTTTAACAGTTAATATTGATTGTATGCCTTTGGGTGGGTTTCTTAACCTCTCTTGACTTTTTCCCATGGTAAAAAAATAATGATAACTTACAGGTTATTTTAAGGATTAAAGACAATGGTAAAATCACCTATTTTATAACTAGCACTCAATATGTTATAGCTTTATTTAATATTCTATAACATTATATTATTTTCATAAATTCTTGAACTTTTGATAATGTCATCATTGTCAAAATTTATGATATTTTATTCTATTTAGTTTTTATATGAAAAAATATATATATATGGAATACACACACAGAGCACTAATACATTTTACTAATATGTGAATCCAGAATAAAAGAAATGGCATACAAAGGATTTGGGCTTGTATCCCTATGATAAACCATCATGAAATAATGTTCTTAGTTTCAAATCTTTTGCTTTGTTTTCCTTTGGTTTTTACAGAATATGAACAGTGTCATTCTGTGTGATTTTATGTGTGTTTGAAACTCAGTTGTATCCTCTATCATGGTTAAATCTCAGATAGTTGACCCTTTTACCTTCCCTTCCTTTTTGTACATCACTGTTATCATCATCATTACCATTGGCACTGATTATTATACACTTCAATATTTTATAAGAACAATGCTTAACTTCTTTACCAGTTGAATAAGAAAGTTTATCTAGAGCCCCTTATGTACAAGGCACTGCGTTAACCACTGGACATACATCAACAAATAAGACAGATTTCAATCATTTCTTTTTCTTTTTTTTCCCATCACTTCACAATCATATACCATACATGTGTGGGTAGATAGCTGTTAAATTCTCCGACTTTGGATTTAGACCTTTGTTCTAATCTTTTTACCACTTATCATGTGTAATAACACCTTCACTAAGCCTTGGTTAAAACCTACTACAGGTGGCTATGACATTTAAGTGAGATAATATTTATGAAGTGCTTAACCTATAGAAGTTACTCAGTAAATTATAGCTGTGGTGATGACAACTTTGTCACCATTGTTTTTCTTCAGACTTCTTCATTTAAAGGGGATATATAGTCAAAGTGTTTCTCATAGTTCTGGAGTTATATAAGAAATTTGTTCCATACTAGTTCTATACACATATAACTACCCCATTGTTATTTATATATGGTTTTGTTTTACAAAGAATAAATTTCTGTTTCTTTTTTAAAGTATATTGATTATTTCCATAAAATGAGCCTCAGTATTTTTCTAGGGATAATGAATACCCACTCTTTATTTTCTGTGGTGCTAGGGATCAAAACTCAGGGCCTCAGGCATGCTAAGCAAGCTCTCAACCACTGGGCTACATCCCCCGCTCTTTTATTATTTATTTTGAGACACAGTCTCTAAGTTTTTCAGGCCAGTTTCAAACTTACTATCCTTCTGTCTCTGCCTCCTGAAGTAGCTAGGAATATGGCTGTGTGTCATCTCCCATGTGCCAGTTTTTCATTTTGTCTAATTTTTCATTTTAATCTTATTGAGAA